TGCTGAAAGGGCCCTTCGCATCAGCTTCAGAAGAGCAACATTTCAAAAGGCTTTTCTGTACTGACATTTAGAAGTAGTCTGTTTCACTTGGTTTCTAGGAAATTAATTGGCTCAATTTGAACAAACATTTCGCTTTTTCTATATACAACTAAAAATTGCTTTTGATTGTACATTTGTGTACTACAGACAGTGAATGCAAGCTGGGAAATAAAAATGTCATACATCGTTTCTACTTTGATGTAGCTGGATATCCAGTCAGCCGGAATAAATCAACCCTGTACCTGGTTTGGACTCTAATAACACACCTTGCCTGCCCCGGCTAAAGCCCGTCCTGACTGCCGGGCTGACTGGTGGCATCCTGAGCGGTTCTGGGGTGGTTTAAGTCCCTGAAGGAAGAACAGAACTTTTAACTACTGTCCGCAGACAAACTGGCAGTGCCACTTGCTCGTCTGTTGAGGGAAGGTGAGGAGGTGTTTGTTGTTCCCAGCGGGTTGCCGCCTCCTTTTAAGAATTCAGAGTAACGGGAAGGGCACGCTGGGCGCAGAACCATCGCCTCACTGCGCCCTTCAGAGCTGGGGCTTCTCTGTGGCTGTTTCACGCAGTTCACTTTCTCGTTCTTTGGAAACAGAAACCCGAGTACCTGGGAATTACAGGTAGGACAGCAACAGCAAGAAAGGACACGCTCGCGTTTGCACTAAATATGGAGTTATTAGTCTCAGTTGTCTAATATAAACAACAGTTTAAATCCTGTTGATATGGAGGAAAGGAGATAAGAATATAAACACTTGTCCAAATGTGTGTAATTTTGCTATTTTGAATTCTGAAATATCAGGGCCCTTGGCTTCTACAGCAGCTTTGCCAAATGCTCTGTAAAGTATTTTACCATTTTTATGTATGGGGCTGTGGCTCCATTTGGTATTTCTAAGCAGTGTAAAATTCTCTGTTGATTTTTTTTTTGTTTTGCCAGGTCTCAGCTCTAACAGATGACCCAGCTCAAATAATAAATGATTTGTCATCTTCCCCTTAGAAAGAGGCTGGGGTCCAGAGGAGGTAGCGTTTCTGGTCGCGTTGAGCTGCTGGGGCAAGCTGGAAGTCTGCGCCAGGATCCAGGTCCCTCTTGCGGGAAGCTGCCCAGCAAGGACTTGCAAAGAGGAGTGCAGGGAGATGGATGCAGCATCCGCAGGGAAAGATCTGGTTCTGTGCCGTGGTTTTCTCTAGAGTTACTGTTCTGTTAATTCTGGTCCTTGCTCTAGATTTTAAACTCTTCTTAAACAGAACAGTTTCATCTTTGTTCATTTATTGGCAAATTCTGGGCTCTCCATGTTTGTGCATTAAGCATGGTTCTAGTCCACGGATGGAGGTAGGCCTAGTCTCTGCAGCCGGCCTTGTCTCAAACTTTCCAGTTTCATGACAAGAAATAACCCTCCTTGAGAAACAGATAAAATGCAAGCAGCAGGTTAACTAAAGCCGGGATGTAAGTGGGAAACTAAAATTTGTCTCTGATCTACAGCCAACAGTTATCCTCTGTTCTCCTTCGTTAGCTCAGGTAAATTGTGTTCTAGGTTACCCTATACTCAACCCCCATGCTGTCACCCAGCCCTGTCTGTCCTTGCTTCTTCCCTGGGCCTGGTGGGTGCCCATCCTGTGACTCCTGCTGCAGTAGGCTGAATCATCAGCTTAACTTTCCTGCTAAATTATAGAGGGAAGAATACTGTGCTTTAAAGAGTGAAAGTAAACAACAGCTTTCACACCACTGGAAGTCTTGCTAGCATTTTAGAGTAGGAGCCCAAATGAAGTAGTCAGTGTCAGTTTTAAATCCTACCAGTATAGGCAGAGAAGGTTGTGGAGCTTTCTTAGAGGCACATGAGAACATGGCTCCTCACAACTACAGCATAATAATATAGGGTTTTTTTGCAGAATCTGTGTGATCACCTTGGCAGAAGCCCATCCTCTCCTTCAAAGTGGAAAAACAATTAAAAGCATTAATTACCAAATCAGTGCCAACTGTAGCAGGCTCCAGAATAAGGTCTCTGGGAAGTCAAAAAGGGTAATGGCTTTTTGATTTGGTTCATTTTCATTTTAATCTCTCGCACTGCCTGAGACTTTCTGTCCTTTCTAGGCTAGAAACTTACCAGCTACCTTTGCATTTTATTTTAAAACAGCCCCTCCACAGCTGAATAATTCAGACTTTCTGAAGAGCTGCCTGTCTCACTGTCCCAGCCAGGGTCTTACAGTGCTCCTGCAGCATCGGTAGCTTCCAGTGTTGCTCAAACCAAGGCTAACAGTCACTTTTAGCCATTTTTTTTTACCGTGTACAGAAGGGACTTATACATCCCTGAAAAGATAAAAATTTGTTTCCACCAAAATGCCGAGGATTTGGAGACGAATGTTTGTCTCACACAGACCTAGATAGCAGATGGGCTAGTTCAGTGTGTTTCATGGTGGGTTTTCCAATATGTGTAGTTTAACCGGGTTATACTGAAATCAACAGTGCTGGTTTTCTCCTCTCTCCCCTGATTTTAATCAGATCAAACCACAAATCTGTTCCTCCGCAAAAAGCTGAATTATGACTACATTTGTAAGCTCTTAACAAGCTTCTATTCCATTTGTGCACATAACTTAAGTTGGCATCTTCCCTTCTGTTAGGAAGCAAAGCTATGTAACTTGCAATGATCTGTAACTATCACACTTCCTTGCTTTGTTCTGAGAAGCTTACAAACTTAGGTTGCTGATGGTAATATTTTAAAAAGCCTTGTATAATTAGAAGTATATGTTTGTTTGTTTATTTTTCAAATGCAGGGAGCTCAGTTTTTAACAGAACTTGCCCCTCTGTGCAGGATATCTTCGTCAGATGGAGAGGAATACACCATTTACAGGTAAGGATTTTCCCTTTTTCTTCCTACCTTGACATACCACGCACTTCTACTGAACCTAAACACTTTTGCAGTTGTATACGAGGACGACTGATAGAAGTGAATGAAAACATTCTTAGCAATCCCGCTATTCTGCAAGAAAAGGTAAGAGACTTTCTTGCATTTTTTTTTTTCTAACTTTTATTTCATTGCTAACTTCAGTCTTGCTTTTTAGCCATCAACCGAGGGATACATCGCAGTGGTTCTACCCAAATTTGAAGAAAGCAAGAGTATAACTCAAGGACTTCTGACGCAGAAGGAGTACGAGGAAGTTTTGTTGAAACGTCTTAATTCTTCTTCATGAAATTAATTATACAGTTATCAGCTGTATTTGATACTAAATAAGCTACTTGTATTGTACACTGTAACTTTCAAGGTATTGAAAGGTCTAGCGCCTGTTAAAAGTGGAACTTAAATGCTTGATTTATACAAGAATAAAGCAGTTCAAATAGATTGTATATTAAAATTTGCTTTCTCTTTTTCTCTGAATTCTAGCACTACAAGTTTTTAAGTAAGCACAGAATGATATGTTGGAGAGTATTGTATGTTCCACAGGCAGCTTTGCTTCTGCTGAGTGCAAGCATAATACAGACAGAAAAATCGTATGATTTAGCTATCACTTAATCTAGCTAAACTAATACAATACGGAGTTTGACAAAGGTGAATTAAAATAAAAATGCAACAGAAGCCCGTGTACAAAGAGCAGATAAACTCGAAAATACGTATTTCACACCAGATTGTATTTTCATGGCATCCTGAAGTCAAATAATGTCCTTTGCACAGAAGTTTGTCATAATCAGTATCTATTTTCTTAAATTTTAAATGGTATGATATAAAGTCTACATAATACTTAAGTGGTTCTACATGCAATTCAAATTCTGCTCAGTAAGTTTTAATAAAAAAGGAAGCAACAACTTCCATCTACAAATAAAGAGGGTAAAGGAAAAAAGGGTTGAGTAATCACTTAGAAATAAGACTTTTGGAAACCTGAATCATGTCGACAAGATTAGAATTCAGTGGTGCAGCTATTGAAAGAGGTTTTGTTTTTTTTTCCCTAAAACTACTTCATTGCAGGTATAACTCATAACTAAGATAACATTTCAGTGCTTTAGGCCACAGCCTTTCAGACTACGTTCCTGATTCTGCTTTATCAAATACATAGACTGAAACAGGCCAGAGATGAGTTTACAGACTTCAACAGTAGTGTTACATATAGCATATGCAGCACAAGGTTCTTTATATAAAATGTCTATTAGCAGCATCTTTGGGTTGAAACATCCATTAAGACATTCAAAAGCATTAATTACAAAACTGGTATCAATAGTGAGTGTAGGAAAGGCATTCACATTATAAAAATACATAACCATTAGACTAGCTGGTGTTGTAATTGCTAAGTAATGGGACATCTATTAGATGTGACAAAGGTCAACAGTTTTACTTCAAATTAACCTGGTTTGACTTTCCACAAATGAAAGCAATATTGAAAATTCAGCAAGTGTTATTTTCAAATGGGAGTTCCTGCATTTCTAAGTGCTGTAATTACTTGCTCTCTAAAAACGTCATGTTTGTTACATGATTTTCCAAAGACTTGATGCCAAATGTCTCAGCTCTCCTTTCTGGAGTATGTGCATTTGTACCAGTTCGTATTCTGTCTTCTCTCCACGGTGGAGCAGGTTTAAGACAGCCATTTCCTGCTTTATTCTATATATATAAAAAAAAAAAAAAAAAA